GTAAAGGCTTAGGTGTTGGCTGATTTCTTAACTGAGTTTACCCCTCCAGAAGAGGAGAAACAACCCCAATTTTTGACAGAACTAGGTTTAAGTGAGCAGATGGGCCCAGAAGTAGTCTGGGACTTGTTCGTGGATGGATCATCTAATGTTCAGGTTAGCGGAGCCGGGCTTGTTCTTGTCTCCCCAGAGGGAGAAAGTATACAGTACACACTTCGGTTTGGTTTTAACGCAACCAACAACAAAGTAGAGTACGAAGCCTTGATAGCAGGATTAAAAGTGGCAAATGCCCTAGGGGTTGAGCAATTATACCGACTCCGAGCTGGTCGTTGGACAAGTTCAAGCGGAATATGAGGCACGAGACGAGGAGATGAAGAGTTACCTACAAAAGGTGAAGGAATTAAAGAATCACTTCCAAAGATTCTCAATTCATCAAATACCACGAGAAGAGAATGGGAAAGCAGACGCTTTAGCCCGGCTAGCTACTGCATTAAACCTGAGATCAATAAGAATATACCACTGGAATATTTGGACGAACCATCTATATCTCAAGAGAGACAAATTGAAGTGCAACAAGCGATATTGAGTATGGAATGGGCAGATCCTATCATCAGATATATCAAGGATGGGGTGCTACCAACAAACCGAGCAGAAGCTCGAAAGGTCAAGATGCGGGCAGCTAGGTATACGCTTATCAAAGGGGTGCTCAACAAGAGAAACTTCTCCATGCCGTATTTACGATGCGTTTCTAGTGAGGAAGCTGACTACATTTTAAGGGAGATCCACCTAGGAGTTTGTGGAAACCATGCTGGGGGTAGGTCACTTGCTAACAAGGCCATCCGACTAGGATACTATTGGCCCACCATGAAGAAAGATGCACTTGACTTCGTTCAAAAGTGCGACAAGTGTCAACGATTTGCCAACATCTCGAGACAACCGTCAGAGGAGATGACTCCCATGTCAAGACCATACCTCTTTCCCCCTTAAAAGAATGAAGGGTCAGCTTCATCTTCTTCCCTCGATAAAAAGATGAGGGGTTAACTACTTCCCTTGTTAAAGGGTGAGCTGAGTGAAACTCATATTAATCTACTTCCCCTGTTAAAGGGTGACCTGGGTGAAGCTCGTATTAATCTACTTCCCTTGTTAAAGGGTGAGATAAGTGAAGCTCATAGTAATCTACTTCCCTCATAAAAAGATGAGGGGTTAACTACTTCCCTTGTTAAAGGGTGAGCTGAGTGAAGCTCATAGTAATCTACTTCCCTTGTAAAAAGATGAGGGGTTAACTACTTTCCTTGTTAAAGGGTGAGCTGAGTGAAGCTCATAGTAATCTACTTCCCCTGTTAAAGGGTGACCTGGGTGAAGCTCGTATTAATCTACTTCCCCTGTTAAAGGGTGACCTGGGTGAAGCTCGTATTAATCTACTTCCCTTGTTAAAGGGTGAGATGAGTGAAGCTCATTGTAATCTACTTCCCTCGTTAAAAGGTGAGCTGGGTGAAGCTCATAGTAATTTACTTCCCCTGTTAAAGGGTGAGCTGAGTAAAGCTCGTATTCATCTACTTACCTTATTACGAGTGACGTGAAACTCGTCCTAATCTACTTTCCTTATTAAAGGGATGAGCCGACTAAAGATGTCAATAAAATCAAGTATAAAATAACGGTAGCATGCCAGCAGGGCAGCTTGCCAAATAATGGGAGCATGCCAGCAGAGCAGCTTGCCAAATAACGGCAGCATGCCAATAGGACAGCTTACCAAATAAAAGCAGTATGCCAGCAGGGCAACTTGCCAAATAACGGCAGCATGCCAGTAGGACAGCTTACCAAATAAAAGCAGTATGCCAGCAGGGCAGCTTGCCAAATAAAGGCAGCATGCCAGCAGAGCAGCTTGCCAAATAACGGCAGCATGCTAGTAGGACAGCTAACCAAATAAAGACAGTATACCAGCAGGGCAGCTTGCTAAATAAAGGCAGCATGCTAGCAGAGCAGCTTGCCAAATAACGGCAGCATGCCAGTAGGATAGCTTACCAAATAAAGGCAACATGCCAGCAGGGCAGTTTGCCAAATAAAGGCAGCATGCCAGCAGGGCAGCTTGCCAAATAACGACAGCATGCTAGCATAATAGCTTGCCAAATAAAGGCAGCATGCCAGCAGGGCAGCTTGCCAAATAAAAGCAGCATGCCTGCCAAGGCAACTTGACAAATAACGGCAGCATGCCAGCAGGACAGCTTGCCACGGCAGCATGGCATGGCAGCTTGCCACATAACGGTAGACTACCAGCATGGCAGCTTGCCACATATACGAGCTGCCAATGTGGCACTACGACAAATATACAAGCTTGCCAATATACGACAAATATACGAGCTTGCCACATATACGAGCTGCCAATGTGATACTATGACCCCCGACTGTATTCGCGAAATGACAATATAAGTCAGGCTAATGGACAAGGCTCTGCAATTCTAACTATATGTTGTTGTGTGATATTTTGGAATTAACGTTCCGATGGTTTGACAAGCAATCCTCCGGAACGGGGGGCAACAGATGGATGTATAATTTAAATATCCATAATTAAGGGAAGATTACTAAATTAACGCACTATTGAGATAGGCTCTGCAGATTACGATAAGGATTACAGATTGAGATAGGCTTTACAGATTACGATAAGGATTAAAGATTGTGATAAGGATTAAAGATTACGATGAGGATTAAGTCTACAGATTACAATAAGGTAATTCTACGTGACATCTTAACCTAAGCCTTATAAAAAAGGTGGGGGAATCAATGTTTTGAGATACGCAATAAACCCTAACTCAATTTCTCGATTTCTCGAGGGAGATTATCATTCACATTGACTTGTTCGTCGGAGCCTACTCCACCGGTAACACACCGATGTTCGTTGGATCACTTTTTCTTCTCTTTATTCAGGAAGTCAGATCAGATCCAGGTTGCGCAGAATCCATCATCAACATTAACAAAATACAACTCTAAAATAGAAACCTAACATGTCAAACACTTCGAGCATTAAACTCAATTTTTGATAAATTAAACTAAAAGCCTAAGTCAGCTTAGAGAAAGTACTTTTTATTTTTCCATTTGGTACCGTACATGATTCCCATGTTTGAAAGAAAATTAACCCAACTAGAAATTTTTATTAGAACCTTATTCCCTTCATTCCAAAATAAATGTTTAAAGTATTGTAAGTCGCAATTCTTAAAGTGAACGTCTATTTTGGAATGGGGGACAGACGGAGTAACATAAATCATGTATAAAAATTATTGAAAATTTACACGTAATAGTATGAAAGTATCTTATTATTAAATACTCCATTCTTTGCTTTGAATGAAGGAAAGAAATAATATAAAGAGATGAAAAGGTTAAAAGAATAAAAAAGAGAACATGTAGTGAAAAAATCCAAAGACATGTTTAGTTCAGTTTTGTCAAAAAGTTTGTATAAAATTTTGAAAAAACCAAAATTAATTTACACAGTATTTTGTATTCGTATCCTTTCTAACTTCGTTTGTAGTAAACTTTTTAAAGAAACTATCAACTAAACAAAATTTTGAATTTTTTTTTTTATTCTAGTTTTTTTTGAACAAAATGCTAATTTTAGAAGAAAGAAAAGAAAAGAAGGAAACTGCCTACTGCAAAATTGAAGAACTTTAAAAGTATTCATTTGTACCTTTACTATCTAATTTTAGAGGCAGATGAAATATCACTATGTCACAAAATCTGAGTTTATTTTAGTATTGTAATAACAATTTTTTACTACTATATTTTGTTGCAGATTACCCCTTTGGTGAAATTCCGTTCATAACTAACCGTTGGCACATAATATATTATTAAAGGGCCGTAATACCATTATGAGAATGAAAAGACTCTAATGGCCCTTGTTGCCACAATTACACTCATATCTATTATTACACCTAAACACACCCCTTACGACTGAAGGCCTTCTGTCTATCTGTGTGTGTGTATATATATATACATATATATAGTTATAAATTACTCTGATATATATACTGTTCATATATACTGTTCATCGATATTCTTCATGCTTTTAATATAATATATAATATATATACATATATATATATATATATATAAACAGGAGGGAGATAAACAGGAGGGAGAGACTCTCTTCTCATCTCTCCCTCCTGTTTATATATATATATATATATATATATCCTTCATGTGTTGTGTCCGAACAATAGAAGAATTTCCAAAAAAAAGTGTTTGCCGAAGAAGAAATAGTTGGCGGCATCGGATTCGGCAAAAACGATAGTTGTTGTAGCCACAATCACAGTACTACCTGGTATTCGGCTGATACCTTAATTGTTCGTCGTCGGCATCGCTGTGTCTAGTGCTTGTGGATTTTGACCCACCCGAGACACAACCCAACTGGATTGCAGAGGGTTCAACCTTGACAATTTTGTAGAGTTCTCTGTGATGAAGAGAATTCCCAAATTAAATTGCCCCTTTTGTAAACTCAACTAATTAGGGTAAGAGGTTTCCGGGCTTTGTAGCAAGAGAGATCGCTATGATTTCACAGCTAGGGTTTTAGTGGTTGCGAGAAAGATTTATAGAGCTCTCCAATGGAGCAGGTACGGTTTACAACGCCGTGAACCAAGGGTTGGGTCGGTTATGTGTCAGGAAAATACATAGTGTGCTGTCACTCTCTAATTGGGTCTTCATAATATACTTTACACGTCAGAAATTTAAGTATTAAACATTGAAATCGTGTCCTTTATTTAAAGTTAAAGTTGTCTTTTTGTTTTTGGGGCATCAGAAGGTGACGTGACCGGCTAAAATGCAATAAAAACTTAGCTGAGGGTTTTCTTTTTTTTGTAATTCAAGAGGGCTTCTTGCCATACTTCAATAATTTAAGGGGTTTTATTCCAATTTACCCTACAGTAGTTCAAAATTTTCGTATTGTACGTCATGTGTTTAAAAACTCCAAAAAAATATTATTATCACTGTATCATAATCGAATCAACCAAATCCTATATAGTACCAAACTAGATTTTTGACCGATGAGGTCACCATTTGACTGGTGGGTTGTTTTTAGGCAAATAATTTCAGCCTCCCCAATCGCCTCCATCTATATTCTTGTTCTCAACTCTGAACTTGCCCTCTCTCTCTCTCTCTCTCTCTCTCTCTCTCTATCTCCAACTTCAAACTACAAAATCTACAAGAATCAGAAGTTCAAAACCCATTTATTTCAGTTTATCTATCTGAATCAAAAGTTCAAACCCTATTACCAATATCAAAACCCATATCGGCATTGTTATGAATTTGTCAAAGTTGTCTTTCAAGTTGTCCTGTTTTTTAGGCATTTTGTTAGTTTATTTTATTGTTGTAGATCATGTGTTAGTGGTCTAGAGTTTGTTGCTATTTTTCAGTCTAGTTCAGTTGATGTATTGCCTATTTAAAGGCCATTAGTTAATTGAATAATATGTGCTCAAAATATATCTTTTCTCTAATTTGATTACTTTGATTCTAAATTGTTTTTTGGTCTTTGTACTTATCTGATTAGCCTTCGATTTGTAACAGTGGTATCAGAGCCACCGAGAATGAAAAAGTGAGTTTGAGAGTGCAGCAGCAACAAATTCATTTATTGCAGTAGCAGTTCTTTCATGGCTTCTGAAAGCTTTGTGAAACCAAGTATTCCACGCTTTGATGGTCACTATGACCATTGGAGCATGCTAATGGAGAATTTCATGCGCTCTAAAGAGTATTGGCAGGTGATTATTTCTGGAGTAGCAGAATCAGCAGCCGGTACAGTGTTGACGGATGCGCAGAAGACAGAGGTTGAAGCACTGAAGCTGAAGGATTTGAAGGCAAAGAACTATTTTTTTTTAGGTAATTGATCGTTCTATCTTGGAGACAATTCTTTGCAAAGACACTTCTAAGCAGATTTGGGACTCCATGAAAAAGAAGTACCACGGGACAACAAAGGCAAAGCGAGCACAACTCCAAGCTCTTCGTGCTGATTTTGAGACTTTACACATGAAGACTGGAGAGTCGGTGGCAGATTACTTCTCGAAGACTTTGGCAATCGCAAATAAGATGCGGATTCATGGCGAAAAGTTAGAAGACATCACTATCAGTGAGAAGATTCTTCATTCAATGACAGCTAAATTCAACTATGTTGTTTGTTCGATTAAAGAATCTAATGATACAACAGGACTTTCCATTGATGAATTGCAGAGTTCTTTGTTAGTTCATGAGCAGAAAATTAATCGGCAAGATAAGGAGGAACAAGCTTTACAAGCCTCATCTAATAATTCTTTCTTGACATCAAAAGGAGGTGGTTGAGGAAGAGGAAGGGGCAGAAACAACAATGATGGTAGATACTCACATCAGAGATTTGAAGATAATCAGTTTTCTAACTCTCAAGGAAGAGGAAGAGGTTATGACAACAATGATGGTAGATACTCACATCAAAGATTTGAAGATAATCAGTTTTCTAACTCTCAAGGAAAAAGAAAAGGTCATGACACTAATCATTCAACTTCTTTCAAGCCAAAATTGTTAGATAAATCAAAAGTCGAATGCTTCAGGTGTCATAGGTATGACCATTACAAGTCTGAATGTCGAACTAATTTAAATAGAAATGGTGGTGTAAAATCTAATTTTGCAGAAAGGAAGAAAAAGTGTCTTTATTGATGGCTTGTCATGTGAAGGAGGAAAACCAGAAGAATTTGTGGTACTTAGACACAGGTTGCAGCAACCATATGTGCGGAGACAAGTCTGTCTTCTCTGATTTGGATGAATTTTTTCGTGATTCTGTGAAGTTTGGTGATAATTCTAGAGTATCTGTCATGGGCAAAGGAAATGTAAAAATCCACACCAAAGAAAACTCCAATCAGATTATTTCTAACATTTTCTTTATTCCAGATTTGAAACACAACTTGCTAAGTATTGGTCAGATCCAAGAGAAGGGATATGAGATTTCTATCAAAGATGGAGTCTGTCGCATTCAAGATGAAAAGTTGGGCTTAATTGCTTAAGTCAACATGACGACAAACCGGATGTTTCCGTTGTATCTTGATAACACCACCCAGTCATGTTTTTCTATGAGATTGAAGAACGAGGCATGGCTAGGGAATTTTCACTATGGACATCTGAATTTTGGTGGTTTAAAGACACTACATCAGAAGAACATGGTGATGGGCCTTCCGCAACTTCAGCACCTTTCTCAAATTTGTGAAGAATGTGTTGTTGGTAAACAACATTGTGATCATTTTCCGAAAGGAAAATCATGGAGAGCGAAAAAGGTGTTGGAGCTGGTACATTCTGATATATGCGGACCCATTAATCCGACATCGAATGGTGGTAAATGTTGTTTTATAACATTCATTGATGATTATAGTCGAAAAACATGGGCTTATTTTTTATAGGAGAAGTTTGAAACATTTTCAGCTTTCAAAAATTTCAAGGCACTGGTCGAAAAAGAAGCGGGCTTGTCTATAAAGATTCTTTATAGCGATCGTGGTGGAGAATACAACTCACAAGAATTTGTAAATTTTTGTGAGGCTCATGGAATTCAAAAGCAACTGGCAGCGGCTTATACACCACAGCAAAATGGTGTTTCAGAGAGGAAGAATCGTACAATCTTGAACATGGTGTGGACTATTTTGGCAAGAAGCAGGATCCTAAGATGTTTCTGGCCCGAAGCTGTCAATTGGAGCATTCATGTATTGAATAGGAGCCCCACGCTTGCTGTTCAAAATGTGACGCCTAAAAAAGCTTGGAATGGATGAAGACCAAGTGTTGAACATTTCAGAATTTTTGGGTGTATTGCATATGCTCATGTTCCAGATGAAAAGAGAAAAAAGTTAGATGACAAAGGCGAAAAATGCATTTTTCTTGGTATTAGTGATCATTCAAAAGCTTACAAATTGTATAATCCTATCACCAAGAAAATTGTCATTAGCAGCGATGTCGTATTTGATGAAGATAAAATTTGGTCTTGGAGCAGAAATGGCGTTGGACAGTCAATACAAACAGACTTTGATGGTGAAAATGAAGAGGAAACACAACAGCCTCATCAACAACAAGCTCCAGTAATTACTCTTAAAGATACTCAAAACGAAGTTTCTACAGTATCTGAAACTACATCAGCAACAGCAGAACATGATGAACAGGTTGATGCTATAGTAGGTTCACATTATCAACGTGTTAGACGAAGGTCAGCATGGATGTCAAACTATGAGGTAATATGAATTGATTATTCTGAGGATACACTTACCTATTTTGTCCTGTTTTCAGACTGTGATCCAGCAACTTTCGAAGAGGCTATCAAAGAATCAAAGCGGCAAAAAGCTATGGACACTGAAATTATGGCCATCGAAAGAAACAACACTTGGGAGTTGACGAAGCTTCCAAAAGGGTTAAAGACCATTGGTGTGAAGTGGGTGTACAAGACAAAACTGAAGGAGAATGGTGAAGTTGACAAATACAAGGCATGCTTGGTAGCCAAGGGCTACAAGCAAGAGTTCGGCATCGACTATAAAGAGGTTTCTGCACCAGTTGCATGACATGACACAATCAGATTGGTGATTGCATTGGCAGCTCAAAACTCATGGCCTATCTTCCAGTTGGATGTGAAATCAGCATTTCTACATGGAGACTTACAAGAAGAGATATTTGTTGATCAACCTCCTAGTTATGTGAAGCTAGGTAATGAGCATAAGGTATATAAGTTGAAAAAGGCTCTATATGGGCTGAAACAAGCTCCGAGAGCTTGGTATAGCCGTATAGATGCTTATTTTCTGAAGGAAGGTTTTAGAAGATGTCCGTATAAGCATACACTTTTATTAAAATTGAAGATAGAGGAAAGATGCTTTTTATGTGCTTATATGTAGATAATTTAATTTACACTGGCAATGATAGGGCTATGTTTGAAAAATTTAAGAAATCCATGATGGTTGAATTTGATATGTCTAATTTTGGAATGTTGCATTATTTTCTTAGCATTGAAGTGGTTCAATCTGCTGCTGAAATTTTTATTTCTCAAAAGAAATATGTGGAAGAAATTTTAGATAGGTTTCAGATGAAGAATTGCAATTCAGTGAGTACACCAACTGAGTTTGGTTTGAAGCTAAATAAAGATCATGAAGGTAAGAAGGTCGATAGCACTCTTTGCAAGCATATTGTGGGAAGTTTAATGTATTTAACTTCAACAAGGCTAGATATAATGTATTCCGTGACTCTCATCAACAGGTACATGGAGAATCCCACAGAGATACATCTTCTCGCTGCCAAGAGGATACTTCGGTACTTGCAAGGTACTATGGAATTTGGGTTGTTTTACAAGAAGGGAGAAAAGTCAGACTTGATTGGCTTTACTGACAGCGATTATGCAGGGGATCAAGATGATAAAAGAAGCACTTCAGGCTATGTTTTTATCCTTGGTTCAGGGGCTATTTCATGGTCATCAAAGAAGCAGCCAATCGTCACTTTATCAACCACTGAAGCTGAATTTGTTGCTACAACCTCATGTGCATGCCAAGCTATATGGTTGAAGAAAATTCTTGAAGAGCTTAATTTCAAGAGATAAGGGCCTACTGCAATTTTTTGTGACAACAACTCAGCAATCAAACTCTCAAAAAATCCTGTTTTGCATGGAAGAAGTAAGCACATAGATGTGAAGTTTCATTTTTTAAGAGATCTCACAAAGGATGGAACAATTGAGCTCATTTACTGCAGAAGTGAAGATCAGGTTGTAGACATATTCACAAAGCCCCTCAAATTGCCATCATTTCTGAAGTTAAGAGATTTAATGGGTGTTTGTATGCTAGATATTTGAGGGAGCTAATTTTTTTTTTTTACCTGTGTATTAAATGGAATGATTGAAAACATCAGTTTAAGGGAGGGTTTGTTATGAATTTGTCAAAGTTGTCTTTCAAGTTGTCCTGTTTTTTAGGCATTTTGTTAGTTTATTTTATTATTGCAGATCATGTGTTAGTGGTCTAGAGTTTGTTGCGATTTTTCAGTCTAGTTCAGTTGATGTATTGCCTATTTAAAGGCCATTAGTTAATTTAATAATATGTGCTCAAAATATATCTTTTCTCTACTTGGATTACTTTGATTCTAAATTGTTTTTTGGTCTTTGTACTTATCTGATTAGCCTTCAATTTGTAACATGCATATCATTTCAGATTGTTCAAAACCCATATCTTTCAGTTTCCATCGTCTGCTGCTCCAGTTTGGGTTCGCCGTTCGCAAGCTTTAGCAGCTGGCCCACTGTCTCTCAACTCTCTTGCCCCTCCCCGCTGGCTCGCTGTCTCTCTATTCTCATTCACAGTTCGCTAGTCTCTATCTCTATCTTCGCCATATTTCCAGCGATCTCGCACCTCTCCATTTGGATGACTGAACGAGAAGTGAATTCTGATGGTGGAGGTTAGTGGCAATTTATTGTTCTAGGTTTGAATTTATGATTATATATAATATGAATGTTCGTGCATATACACACGAAATATCTTGTTTTATATATATGTGTGTATGTGTGAATGTACACATTTCACACACAAAATCTTTTCCTCTGAGGTTGTTTACCTAATCGAGCGGAGCTCTGACATTCATGGGGAAGCTGGAGCCGGGCTCGGACATTTTTGTGAACCAACCCCTGCTATGAGCACCTATACATGGCCAGTCAAGACTGACCATTTGTCTACAAAGTGTGTTACTGTCAATCAAGTCTAACACCAACCAGTCACGAGTGCATTCACTTGAGAGTTAAAGCAATTTGACAACGCCCCTTTTCTATCTGTTGTATTTGTTCTTCTTTGCCCTGTTCATTAATGTTCTCGTTTATACTATGAAGCAAACATTCACACATGCACAAGTCTTTGTTCAATTTGTCACTCCCAACAAGGGCAAGTTTGAGCTGATCCGTGGATTGCATGTGAAGTGTGCATGCATATGTGCCACTTCTAACAGAACCTCCCATGAGAAGGCCTTATTTGAGAACTCTAACTGCAACTACAGTAGGTTCTCTTTCTCACTTTATATGTCTTTATGTTCAAATATTAATTTTGTTTCCCAATCTTTAACTGTAGATTTGTCTGTTATCAATAATTAGATTTTTAGTCACATAGTGACCGTGTTTTATATATGTAGATTCGGGATAGTGTAGCTTTGGCCATCGACACCAAATCTCATTCAACATTTTGACATGCACATGTCTTTGTTCAATTTGTCACTCCCAACAAGGGCAAGTTTGAGCTGATCCGTGGATTGCATGTGAAGTGTGCATGCATATGTGCCACTTCTAACAGAACCTCCCATGAGAAGGCCTTATTGAGAACTCTAAATGCAATTTCAATAGGAGTCCAAAAGAAGGGTAGTTGTAAGGGTTCTCACGTTATCCCCAAAAAAAAAAGAAAAGAAAAAAAAAACAATTAGTTCAATGCCGCAATATGAGGTTACACTGTATGGTGAGGAAACTAGAAAGTGCGCAATAATTGAAGATTATTGGAAAATTGGTTGTAGACAAGAATGGGAGTGTCTGTTGTTGGTTCCTCTTAGCCCATATTACATCGAGCGTAAATTTAATGATTATTTTACCTGGGGGTTGTAGTTTGTAATTAAATCCCAGGCATCGATGCAACGCAAACATAGTGGAAGCCTTTTGTCTAAGTTAAACTTGGTGCCTATTTGGATTAGCTTCCAAAATGCCGCCCTTTGCTCCTTGGACTCAAAAGCCATTTTTCTTTTGTCCTTTAGCGTAGTTATAGTTGTTTTTCTATTTCATTTTTTGTTAGTTTTTTTCATTTCTTTTATTTTTAATGTTTTCCTTTTGTCCTTTATCGTAATTAGTTCATTTTATTTCTTTATTTCTATTTTTTAAAATCATTTTTGTCTTTTTTTTTTTTTTTTTATAATATATTTTAGGCTCCCTCGTCTTCTTCTTTGGAGGTAGCTCACTCCAATCTGGAGGTAGCTCTTGGGGTGGCAACTGCCACCCTTTTAGGCTCTCCTTGTCTTCTTGTTCCAGTCATGTGTGTTTCAATTAATTGAAACCACAATCACAATGAGGGTATTGAGTTCTTAATATTCATTAAATTCATATTACTGAGTAGAATATAAATTGTTTAACTCAATTGGTATGATTTGCAGGCGATGGATGAACCATCCGAGACGGATCCTCATGATCCGAATACTCCTCCGGATCCTTCTCAGGGTCCGAATACTCGGCGGATCCTCCTCATCTGAATACTCCTCCAGCAGATCTAATGACCGTTCCTGCTCCTGTGGCAGATCTAACGACCGTTCCTGCTCTTCTTCCGGCAGATCTGACGACCGCTCCTCCTCCTCTGGATCCCGCCAGGTATGAGTCCCTTGGAGGAGAGGAATTTTTGTAGGTTCTTAATCGTCTTTTACCACAAACCACCCAGTTACAAGGGTCGTTTGACCCCAAAACCCTAAGTATCACGTTTGGACTCATTTTCACTTTCAAGTGGAAGTAGCAGTTGGTTCTTCTTATGTCAAATGTAGGTAATTTTTGTTAAATCAAAGAAACGGGGTCTGTTGGTATGCATTTGAATAGTAGGTGTGTTCAAATTTATTGAATATTGTTAGAGAAAAAAAAAAAAAAAAAAAAAAAAAAAATTGCTAAATGCGGGATGTTGAAATTAAAATTATTTAATATTAGGTTTGATGTTATGTTAGAAACTTGTACAAAAGATGATGTTATGTTAAAAATATTAATATGTTGCAATTAAAATTATTTAAAATTAGGTTTGATGTTACGTTAGAAACTTGGTTTCACGGTATTAAAGGGATTGGGAAAAAAATTTACTCCGTATATGTCACCTTGAAAACTTGGTTGGGGGTATTAGTTCTCAAATATAATATTGTTAGCATATGATTTTTTTGGACCAAATTTGTCAGAATTCGACACAACGTGATTTTTGTTCATTTCTTTAAGATGTGCCATGTCAGCTTTCAAAAAAGTACGATTGGTCAAGAATCTATGCTTAAAATTCACTTCAGTTTCTTCAAATTTTCAAAAATAAAAAATACACAAAATTAAGAAGAAATTACACAAAATTAAGAAGAAATTGAGAATTTTGCAGGTCTTCCCTTGCACTCTCAACACCCCAAAAATGCAAGGTTACAGCCAGAGTTGGTTTGCATTTAATGCAAACTCAAGCAACTCGAATCAATTTTGACAAAAATTTATGAACTAAAATTCTTAAAAAGAAATGTTAAAATTGTTTTCTTTCTTCCCAATTTAAAACACAAATTAGGAGAATAAGCAAGGTCATAATAATGGAAATAACTATAGAATAATCTTAAATCAAGACAACCGGTTAAGGGTTAATTGAAAATCAATAATTATTCCAAGTTTACGACACAAATCTTTAACCACAGAGGATATCAATACCTCATCTCCAATGTCGTTCATGTAAAGGTTCAGTGATAACAAAGTCTTGCTTCTCTTGATGTATTCAGCAACATGGAAAGCACCTTTGGAGCTAATTGCGTTATTGCGAATGTCTAGAAGAATGCGTTTCCCTGGAAGAGCATGCATGCATGTTAAATTAACTGCAATACAAGGAAATGCAGTGTCCTTGCCCTGGTTTGGACATTGGTGTGCATGTATTATTAAGTAAACGCATTACTATTCAAACAAACGTGCGTGCACACACATATATACATGGCCCCATACATATAGAAGTTCAAACAATAAAGCATAGAATAGAAGCGTAACAACTACAATAACAGATTTAGCAAAAAGCAAACCTTTATGCGAAGATAAACCAGACATCAAAGCATGACTTCCTTCATCTCCAATAGAATTTCCATGCAAATGAAGTTCCTGAACACATAATTTAACTATAAGTCGCACAACCTATCAAAGGGAACAACAAAGTTTTATCTATTGCAAACACATCACTATACAAAATATCATTCTGTGACAGACAAGTAACATAAAAGATAAATGTATGTTTTATCTCTAGTTAGCCACAATGTCTATCACGCTTTATGAAGCCCCAATACTTAATAATGAAGAACATTTCTACTCACTAAAGAGGTTATTATTAAATATTCAGTTCTTCATCAAAACCTCCATGCAGTTTCATTTTTTTTTTTTTTTTTTCCCTAATTGCACACAGTTTCTTCACTTGCTAAAAACTGTCATAAGTTATCATTGAGGGAGGAGAAGGAAGCGGGAAGGTGTATTGTGAATGCAAATCGAAGCAGAAAGTAGAACTGAAGGGCAACAATTTCTTGCAGAAGAAAGATACTTGGTGGGCTCCACTGATCGGGGGCCTTAGAAAGTTCAGCAAAATCCTTCTTAATGATATTTTCTATTCTTCTCATATGTCATTTGCATCACGTATTTTAAATCAATCCGATTCTAGGACTGAAGCTCATATTCTGAAGATTTATATTGTCATACCAATAAAGAAATCACCAAAAAGCACAAGGAGGCCCAAGCAGGATAAGGGCAGTGTACAAGTAATTAAGATGCGCTCATTCTGAGTTAATTGAATTCTAGCTGCAATGGCTAATGAAATATGAAGATTCAAAAGTACTTAGGCACTTGTCCTCAAAAGTACTTTGGCAACAATAAAGATAAAGCCTTAAGTGATTAAAACTTCCTTGGGAGTTAAGACTCGTGAACCTTATAAAAGAGCCAAGAATATTAACAAATATTTCCCCATCATTCCTCAAAACAACACTAATTCTTATCCTAAAGACACCATAATAAAGATCTGATCAAAATGTATCAGCCTTGTAAGCCAAAGAAGGAAATAATAGTGGAGTATAACAAACAGGACATGAAGTGGTGATAGGAGAAAGTATTGAAATTTTAAAAGTTGACAATTCAAATATCCATCTTGATGTAATTGTTTACACCCTATTTTTTAGCCAATGACTAGTTGACACGTGGCGAGTTTTACATAAAACTTATCATATATCAATTCTATTTACACCATGATTATCAGCTACTTTCCAGTGGAAGATTGCCCTGGTCGATTCTAATGGAAAGGTATTATGATGTTCCAGTGGAAATCACTATCTTCTAAAGACTTTGGCTTCGATTACTTTCCAATGGAAA